TGATTCATGACAAATTATATTTAAATTTTTTTTATTAATAAATTAAATAAAAATTATATGAAAAATGGCTAAAATGATCATCTACAGTAACTTCAGCCAATACAGCCAGAAAAGTAACTTCAACCTTACTTTTTCTGCTTATTACAAAATTTAGCGCACGAAATCAAAAGTTACGTATTTGGTGAAAAAGCTGACTGATAAGCCTGATAAGCCAAAAAAGGGGGTCATCAAATGGCCTCTTAAAATCTCTACCATGTCCATCTTTTCATTTGTGTATGCTCCTATCAGTAAAACTATGTATATATCTTAGGTTCCTAAAGGACATGGCACCAATTAAAATCTTAACCAAAAAAGGGGGTCATCAAATGGTCTCTTAACGGGGACGGATGAAGTACTTGTTTAATATATTCTTTATTCTTTCAATTTTGCTTTGGGTACACACTTATCATACACACACATACACACTATAAATAGCCTAAAAAATTACTATTTTTTTTACCCCCTCTCCTACCACACGTGCAAAACAGAGTCTGCAAAACAACCCCACCCTCCCTCCCCCCTTCCCGCTTCTTGCTTTCTTTCCTCTTCCCGCAACAGAACCCAACAGCAAACGAGAATGGATTTTGGTGGTATTGTGAACGAAACCATCATTGATACTACCGTGGACGACTTTTGGGCTGATTGGGATCAAACGATCGGTGGTTCTCGAGTTGAAGGACAAATTCCGGTGGCGGCGGAAGTTGATGGCGACTCGGCGGCGGCCGCCATGGACGACGTCCCTGAGCTTGGTATGAGTTCGTTTTGATTTCATTTGCTTTAAAGTAAATATATATGTGTTTGTTCTTCACAGACAATTGACTGTATTTGTGTAGTGTTTATGTGAATTGTATAATATGTCTGTGTATGTTTCAGTTGTCTGAGTGTTATTATACAACTGTGAAGTGTATTGACTTTTGTCTGTGTAAATAAAGTTTTAAATTTACTTATGTCTGTGAGTACATGTACTTCTGTTTGAAATGTCTGTGTGTAAATATAATTGTGTTTGTGTGTATATATACTTCTGTTTGTGCGTAAATAGACCACTGCCTATGTGCTTAAATATACTTATGTTTGTGCATGTTGGTCAGATGGAGAAATTCAGCAAAATGAGAGTGGCGTTGGTTCTATAAAAGCTCCAGAGGTTGGTATGGAATTTGATAGCAAAGAAGCGGTGTATGATTTTTACAAAACATATGGGAAGCGTTTAGGGTTTCCCGTAAGAACTAAGAGTACCACCAAACACAAAAATGGGGTGGATATAGTTGGAGTGTTACTAGAGTGTTCTCATGCCGGTAGTAGATCTAGTAGGTCAAAAAATCAATTGAAGCCTCAACCTTCAATGCAAATGGGGTGCGGAGCAAGAATACGAGCACACACAAATTATGAGGGACGTTGGGAAATATCAAAAATCTGCCTTGATCATACCCATCCCATGAGCCCAACAAAGGCTCGCCTATTCCGGTGCCATAGGACTTTGACACCCCAAGCAATGAGGCAAATTGCAATCAATGATGTCGCCAGAATACGACTTCATAAGACCTTCAATGCAGCCGTTGTTGAAGCTGGTGGATATGACCAACTTCCTTTTATTGAAAAAGATTGTAGGAACTACATTCAAAAGGTAAGACAACTTAGGTTAGCGAGTGGTGATGCCATGGCAATTCAAGAGTTCTTTGCTAAAATGAAAGCTCAATGCCCCGAATTTTTCTTTGTCCTTGACTTAGATGACGAATCTCGATTGCGTAATGTGTTTTGGGCCGACAACCGATGTAGATATGCGTACAAAGAGTTTGGAGATGTCATCACTTTTGACACGACCTACCTCACGAATCGGTATGACATGCCTTTTGCACCTTTTGTGGGAGTTAATCATCACGGTCAATCAATTTTTCTTGGATGCGGATTAATCTCTAATGAAGATACGCAAACATTCGTATGGCTCTTTAAAGCATGGCTAGAGTGTATGGAAGGACGTGCTCCAATGGGCATTATTACGGACCAGGACCGTGCAATGCAAAACGCCATCCAAATTGTTTTCCCAAATACAAGACATAGATGGTGTTTATGGCATATTATGAAAAAGGTACCGGAAAAAATGGGAGGAATTACAGAAAAAAAAAGAAATCTTGGATGCTATTCACGAATCGATTTATGACTCTCAATATGTTCCAGAATTTGAGAAAAGGTGGAAGGACATGATACAAAGGTACCCTTTATTTCCTAAAAAAATTGACGCATTACAGAAGCAATTTGTCTGTGAACTAAGTTTATATTCACATCACAGACAATGTATGTGTACTACACAGACATTATAATGTTTGTGGAACTAGAGCTTATTTGTATGATCATGGCACATACGACTTATTTTACTGCACTTACATTTGCAATGTACCACACAGACGCATTAATGTTTGCGGGCACAAAACACATTGTATATGTGCTAAGATTGCGTGCCCATTCCAGAGAGGTATTGTCTGTGTATGAAAGAAATTTGTATGTCACAGACATAACAAATGTACAGCACAGACACAATAGTGTCTGTGATGTACATAGTATATGTAATTGATGTATATTGTTTAATGTTATTTCAGGTATTCCCTTAAAGACCATGAATGAACGACACCGGTGGGTACCATGTTTCTTAAAGCCAAGCTTCTGGGCGGGTATGTCTACCACTCAACGAAGTGAAAGTATCAATGCTTTTTTCGATGACTTTGTGAATTCGAAAACTACTCTTAAACAATTCGTTGAACAATGCGGACGTGCATTGCAAAGTAAGGCAGAAAAAGAATTTCACGCCGATACAAGTTCGTTTGCAAAAACGATTCCTTGTGTTACATCATTTGAAATGGAAGAACAAGTCCAAGAAATTTACACCCTAGTGAAGTTTAAGGAGTTTCAAGATGAACTTGTAGGTACATTATATTGTGATCTCCTACAAAGCGAAGGTGATACAAAATTTAATGTAAAGGAGGTCCGAAAGATTAATGGGTTTCGAAAGACCATTAACTTTGTTGTAGAATATGACCCATTGATTACTTTTGGAATATGTAGTTGTCACTTGTTCGAATTTAGGGGTACGGTTTGTAGACACTTGATTGTGGTCTTACTTCGCCTTGGATTGGAGCTCTTGCCCGAGGTCTACCTATTGAAAAGATGGAGGAAAGATGTTAAAAGAGCGTACACGAAGGTGAAAATCAATTACGATGGGGGGATCACAACGGTGGAACAAGAACGCTTTCATAAGTTGTGCAAGACATTTGAATCTCTTGCAAACATGATTGCGGATGATGATGAGAAGTACCAAAGTGTTCTTCTTTGGTTGGAGTCTCAATTGTCCACATATACTCCTCACCAAGTTCATCCTTCTTCCATGTGTGGCAACCTTACATCTATCCCACAAGCGAGCACTAGTGTGCAAGGTGACGTTCCAAAAATCATTGGAGATCCGAAGTGTGCAAAGCGTAAGGGTGCACCGAGAAAAAACCGCCAAAAAGGACCATTGGAGAAGGGGAAGAAGAAATCAAGTGCTAGGACCGACAATGCAAGTACCCCACAACCGACCTCTCAGGATGGCAATGGACAAGGTGGACTTAATGACATGATGAATTGTAGTGGTTTAGATTTAAATCTTAGTTTGATGTATTAAAGCACAGACAAAGTGTTTGTTCTTCACAGACACATTGCACAAATACGTCACACATCACAGACATAGTGTTTGTTCTTCACAAACACACAATGTATTTGTCAGAGATATTATAGTATACTTTTAATTTTTATAATGTCTATTTTTGTCAAAAAGTCTTTTATTCTAAGTATAGCAGAGTATTTTTTCTTCACAGACAAAAGTAACACACATCAAAGACAAAGTGTGTGTTCTTCACAGACACACAATGTGTTTGTTACAGATATTATAGTGTACATAGCACAGACAAAGTGAATATAAATAACAGACAAAAAAGATTTCTATGTTTATATGAACAGCAATGACAGTTAGTGTTTAACACAGAACAAAAAAGCATACCAATGTACAACATTGGTAATATTTGGGAGTACATTCTAGGACATTGTACAACATTGGTATTGTAATATTGTACAACCTCCTACATTTCACAACCAAACCCATGCAGGCCAAAACTAAATAGTAAGGTTACATCAAAGATTTTACATCCACAACCATCGTACACTAAATATTCACACCCATTAAAACAAGTCTACTTTGATCGCTTCCTCAAACTCCAGAGCCTCAATGCATATTCACATCTTTTCGCTGCCATGTTCTCATACGCACACTCTGGCATCAAGGGCAACTTCTACAACAGTGCCTCCGCAAACGTTGCTACCATAACTCCGCAAACACCGGATCTGAAAATAATACAATTCATACAGACATTACATTTCTATGCACAGACAAATTGTATTTGTGTACAGACATGAGTGTACCCTGAGTGTTGTTGTGGAACATCATCCACTGCTCCGCTCTCCAAGGATGTGAATGGGCTATGGAGGTAACGACAGGGTTGCATTTGATGACCCGAAACAGGAGTGGAAGTCGGATACACAAAAGCCTCACAGATGCAACCGACCTACTCGTCTTCAAAGAATCGTATACCCGTACGACGTTATTGAGTAGGTCAATTTCAGATAGCACCCAATGTTTTCCATCAGTGTGCACATGCATGAACACCTGCATTAAAGTAAATAAAGTAGTTATTAATCAAACTAACTTTTTCGTACGTATTATTCAAACCAACCTTTTCATTTCGACTCCAATCCATTTTCTTCAGTAATCGGCCCCCCTTCCATTGTTTGTCATCTGCTGCATCCTTCTGTAAAATTTGGTACTGGACCAAAAACAAAAGTACAGACAACAATAGTGTGAAATCACAAACATTAATGTATCAACGCACAGACAAAACGTATCAAAACCGCAGACATAATATAAAGTTTTAATGAATTACCGCGAACAAAGGGCTCATGAGTTCATAGGCCGCGGTCTTTATGGATTTGCGGAACAGAAGAACTAGAGCATCCAAATGCTTCAAACAAAAAAATAAATCCACAATCAAAGCATTCAACTAAAATAGTGTAAAATGAAATACTTCTTATTATGACTCACCTCGCTACTTAACCATTCATTTTCATCCATTAGCTCTCGGAAGAATGTCCTATTTGTCGGGTAAGATGATGGAATATCTAGGTGAAGTACGGTAGGTTCAATACCATCAATTTCCTCCACCCATGCCTTGAAAGAATCATACTCACCATCACGTCCTCCAACCTTAAGCCTCTTAGCCGCCGGCGCAATGAATGGGCTACAAATGTACTTAGATTTGAACCACTTTCTCTTCCTCAATTCTTTCATACTCACCTCTTCAATGGCCTTCATGTCTACCCCAGCAGTTCCAACATCATCACCAACCACATCCCAATCCAAGTTTTCGAATGGAACTGTCAAAGCAGGGATCTTGTCATCTTCAACCTACACATTTATAATTTGCATGTGTACTTCATGTGTACTGTCTGTGTGAACTATGAACTATCTGTGTAAATGAAAACATTTTGGAAATCGCAATGTGAACCTCTTTTAGGCACATCAAAAGATTTGTGGGAGTGTGACACTCCTCATACATGTGGCCTGTCATACTTTGCTCAGATTCCCACTTCAACTTTGAAATGAAGGTAAACCTCATTTAGGAATGATTAATGCAAAATCTTTCTTAACCAACAACAATGTAAATATCACAAGCAGTATGACTGTATCCTTAAACATACCTCGTCCACTACAATCTTTACTGGATCTATTTCCGAATTTTGTGTGTCACTATCAACAGCAATAGAATTCTCCCCTTCAGGCTAAGCATTTACACACATCACAGACATAACATTTACACACAAACAACAAAACATATAAATACAGCCAAAACATTGGTAGTTACAGACACTGCAAACACATTAAACAACAAACCTCAGTAGCAACATTGACAATAGGATCTGCACACACATTTTGATGTTCAGTAACATCAGGACAAGATTTATCCAGTTCACCCTAACCATTTGGTATTTCACAGACACTTATTAGTTTTGCACAGACAACACGAAATGTGCATACAGGAAAAAAATTGATACATACAGACACTAAAAATAGCACACAAACTAGTTAAACAACATACCAAATGTTGTGGTTCACCAACAACAACATTACTTTTCTCCCCTTCAGCATCTGTTGCACCAACTTCGTTTTGTTCTTCCAGCTCACTCGGGGCAGAAGGACCCCCTTACAAACCAAGAGAAGCGTATAGTAATTTTACATACAAACATATATGCAGTAAATACAGACACAACAAAATACTACACAGACAAATGATGTCTATACCTTTTCCTTTAAAGCCTTGTTGACTGTATCAATAACCTGAACCAGCAAGTGTTTCAGTTCACCAAGCTCCTCTTCCATTTTTTTGTCCAGCCTTTGAAGACTGCTTTTGATCTCATCAATGTCCGAACACATTGCTTGAACTCTTTCCCTTGTTTCAACTTCAATATTGTCTTCATCTTCAACATCGGAAGAAGGGGGTGTACGCAACTCCTATGAAAACATGAACATGATTTCGTATTATAAATATATATATTAGGGGACAATTATAATTGACAAAGTAAGAAGACTTACATCAACAAAGACAATTTCTCGTATCTTAGATGACCGGAATTTCCCATGACATGACCAATTTAGTATTGGGACTTCATGATTACCAACACGGGTGCCAAAGTGTTCCCCAAATTTAGGAATTTTTTCATAAGCCCACACCTAAGTGACAAAAAAGTGTCTGTGAGCATTTAAAAAGCTGTCTGGGAAGGACATAAAGTGACTGTGAGCATTTAAAAAGCTGTATGGGAAGGACAACAAGTGTCTGGGATCATACCTGTAGGACCAATGGCAACCCGTAAACCGAAAACTTGGCGTTTTTATATTCAGGGTTGTTAGCCTTACTGTCCAAGAACTTCGTTGGCTGCCCATCAAGAAGACCCTTCAAATGTGTGACAAGCAAGTGGTAAGCATCTCTTGACCACGGTTCCTTCTTGAACTCCTCAAAGTCGTTCGCAAGCTGAATCGACCTCCGGTTGATCCTCGTTGTTCTGTCTCTTCCCATCAACACGTTCTCAACTACGAAGAGGGATGCAAGCTTCACCCCTAGCATACCATTCCTTTTTTTATTTCCACCTAACCATTGAACCTTCTCCTTCATCATCTGGAAAGTGATATCCAGTGATCCATGAAAGTATGTATTAGCAATCTCTCCTGGTTCTTCCTCTTCTTCGGCTTGTTCATCATCGTTGTCACTATCTTCAGCCACAACAAGCCTCGGGGCTGCCACAGGTAATCCGGTTATGCGGCAGAAGTCGTTGTACGTGAACTCTATAAGTTTACCCTCAACATTGAACCAAAGCTCATCATCGGGTTGCTGCTTCACCAGTCGTAACAACAACATGTGGACTATTTGGCCAAAAAACTGGATATCAGGAATATCAATAAAGTGACCCCATGGTGTCTGCCGGAAAATTTGCAATTGTTTCTTAGATAGTATCGCATGAATGTACTTAGAAGCACATTTCACATCTGAGCACACAGAATACTGTGCAGGGAAATGCTTGCTCAAAGGAATCTGGAGTTGAAGTGCCCTATCATTGTAAGAAAATAAACCATAAGTACACAAACATATGTCAAATTACACAGACAAGCTTTCAGTTACATACAGACAAACAATCACGCACATAGACATATGTTTTATTTGCACCTGCTTTTGTCTTATTGCATTGTGTAGTAGTACAGACATCATATTAGTCACACAAACATATCAAAGAGTAATACAGACAATCATATAAGTCTTCACAGACAAATAGAGGCAGAGCCAATTACATATACGCTCACACAGACAAGCACTTAGACAAATCTATCTTCATATAAGTCTTCACAGACAAATAAAGGATACATACCTTTCGGCCATGGTTGATAGCGGGGTTCGCACCATTTTTGACGGAGACCGGGAGGAGGGTTCGCAGCGAATGCGCAGCGACAACAATCTTAGACTGTGGTTGACGGGGTTAGCGGGGTGGAGGGTTTCCTTCGACGGAGGGTTACAGAGGAGAAGGAGGCTGGTCTTCGACTGGGGTTGACGAGGTTAGCGGGGTCGAGGGTTTCGAACGTCGGGGGGGGGGGGGGGGGGGGGGGGGGGTTACAGGGGAGAAGGCTGGTCTTCATCGGGGGATTAATCGGAAGAAACAGAGCAAGGGAGAGGGGAAGCAACGGAGAAGGTGGGGATGCGGGAAAAATTTGGAGCGGGTGTTTTTTTGAAGTGTTTTGAAATTGGTTGAGGGGAAAGGGGGGTAAATTATTTTTGGGGGTATTTATAGTGTGTATGTGTGTGTATAGAAAGTGTGTAACAATAGACTTTTTGGTGAAACAATGGTGTTTGTTAGTGACAGTGGATTGACAGAGTAAAAAAAAAATTCTAAAGGTACACACTTTTTGGTGTACACACTTTTTACACATGTCTGTGTAAGGTTTTTTTTATGTCTGTACAGACATAACGTATTTTAAAAGTGTGTTATGTCTGTACAGACATAAAAAAAACCTTACACAGACATGTGTAAAAAGTGTGTACACCAAAAGTTCAACTCTTATTCTTTTGTTGCAACGTTTCCATTTTCACACTTACTAACACACAACTTTTATCATTTCATTTGCTATGAGAGAAATCAATTTCTTAAAATTGATAATGAGAAGAATTTAAAATTATTTCTCAAAAATAAAATTTTTCAGTACATTAATAAAAAAAAGTACAATCAAAGTAAAACATGTGAGTAATGTGAAATTTTAGTTAAAATTATAATTATTTAAAAGATAAAGGTAGTAATAAATAGAATGTTAACTTTTAGAATGAGGTCAAACAGTAAAGGTTATAAAGTTAACAAATACAAAAACTAATTGTTTTAGTAAAATTGTGATTCTTTGTCGGTGTAATTTATCATAAGGAAAAATAATAATGAGAAGCATACATATGTTGATGCATACACATCAAAGTAAATGAGAAGTGTTTGTTTTACTTTTTTTTGATAGTCCAGATGTCGGTGTTTGCGCTCCCCTAATCCTGAATTCTATTGATTACTCTCCAAAGCCTCTAGACAGTCAAATCTAGATATTATCACAGTCAGCCTTAGTTAGTACTGGTACCACAGGATGAGTCCAGCAGGACTTCCTTTCAACTGAATCCAAAAGAGTCCTCCTACTTTCTAGGGCTTCCTTTCAACTGAGTCCAGAATGATCCTCTCACCACGCGAACTCGCGACCTGAATTTACATTCGCTCCCTTCCAAGCCGCTGTGCAATTCCGTGAAGGTAAGAAGAATCATTGGGAGCAAGACCCCCTTCTCTCTCCTAAATGTGCCTCATATACCTCAGCTAGGACACGATAACCTCCCATCCGGTGAACGGGAACTATTGGTTAAGCGTTTGTTTTACGTTGTTAGGGAGTGAAGCAGAGGACTAAATTGTCCTATTACGATAGAAAGCTGATGGGCCTAGTACTCATTGAGGTGCGCACAACCTGATTCTCCTTCATCAGACCTCAGCGAGCAGCCAAGGAAGACAGAACTACCTCACATTTAACATTAGAGTTCTAATTAATTGTAAAAATACCTGATCATAAGGTGAATCAGTCCACACAACTGTACCGTATAATTTAAGGTAGAAAGTTACTCCGTAGTAGTATTAATAAAAAAGTACAGAAAACTATAAAAAAAAACTCACCTGCTAGACGTCCTTCTTGTTGCTTCTCACGCTTCTTTCTAATAACTCAATGTGCTTTACGTTGGGCACAAACAAACTACCTAAATTCGCAGTTGAATTCCTATTTACAGAATCTCTTGAAACATAATAAATTTCTGGCGGGGTTACATTTCCCTTGCATGTAAATTTCACTGCAAAGACGCGTTTTTTTATTTTTATTTTTTGTTGTTTCAGTGGAATGTGTAATTGTATATGTTGCATTAATTCGATGTTTTGCAAAAATTAAATCACAAGACATTTGATAGAGGTTAAGGATTTTGGACTCAATGGCGGAATCGACTTCGGGGTTCTACGGATTGGAGGAGACATCCCCGGACTTGCTGAAGAATACGCCGTCGAATATAAGGAGGCTGGCAGATGAGATTGAACAGTGCGAGGGTAGGAAGAAGTACCTTGCTCAGACAGCAAGTCAATCCGATGGAGGTGATGTCCGTTGGTACTTCTGCAAGGTTTCTTTAGCACTGAATGGTTAGTTCTTGCCCAGTTTTGAGTGTTCCACTGTTTCTTAATTCTTTCTTTTTTGCATGCGATCTTATTATTCTTTCTCTTGTGTTGCTCATTAAGATTGGTGTGATGGAATTCTGTTAAAATTTTAGGTCAAATTTTATTTTGTTCGTTTGTTTGAGGTATGAAGAAGGTTTTGCATGTGACTGATAATGTAATCTTATGGTCTTCTTGCTTTAGATATATATTATAAAGGGGGTATATATAGGTCTCAGAAAATATAATGAGATGTTGTAAAAGGAAACCTGTGAAGTTCATGTCTTGTCTTAACCTTGAGCTCTCGTCATCCCAACATATCTGTATTTCTACAATAGTATTCTAACCTAACAAAAGAGTGATATCAGGGATAAAGGAAAGGATATTTAGTCTACGAATCCTACCATGATGTTCAGCCATAATATGCTTTTCTCAATTTCCATAATGTGCTGGTTTTATTTGAAACAACTCTGAAAAATTCACGCAAACGTAATTAGGAATAAAACATCTACTTGCGCGAAAAAAACTTACATTCATCACTTGTTAGCAGAACCTGCTGCTTCTGTTCCACACACACCGATAGCAGGGCACGGTGATTATTTTAGATTGGGCATGAGAGATTCTCTAGCAATTGAAGCTTCATTCTTGCAGGTACTTTCACATAATTGGACTCTAATTCCTAAAAGAATGTTATTCTGCTGATCAGCTCCACTTGATAATCTCAGGGATAAATTTATAGTTGAGGAATGTTAGGGAAACTAATCCCGTATTTGGCAAGTTAGATGAATCAGTTTGCAGAGCATATGTTTACCTGGGAATATTTTACATGCTGTAATGGATTCATTAAATTTCATTACAGAATGAAGAAGAGTTACTGTCTTCATGGTGGAAAGAGTATGCAGAGTGTAGTGAAGGCCCAAGAAAACATACTAGTAAATTAAACTCAGTGTTAGTAGAATCTTCTCCTGAGAACTCCGAGTCAGCCAAACTGTATGCGGCAGAAGAAGAGAGAGTTGGTGTTCCGGTGAAGGGAGGCTTGTATGAGGTAATTGACCTGCTTTGCCACCTTTGACTACTCAATGAGTTAACTGCTGTCTGCTTCTGATAGTAACAATTTGAAGACAGCAGCTAGTTTACAGCATTGCTTAGAAGATTTGAGCTTGAGAGAAATAGTTCACGTGTCCTATTAATTGCAACCAGACCATTTTTATTTGAATGATGTTGCCAACATATGTCTATGGATGCTTTGGTTGTTAGGAACAACTACATGTCAGTTTTTGAAGTTATGTGACTGAAGCGCAGGAAAAAGTTTTTGATGTGTGTTGTAGAAAATGACTTGCTAAGATGGTTTGATATTTGTAGCCTTAAACAAAAGTAGATTACCCTTGTGGAAATTGAACTCATATAGGCATACCGCCAATTTAACTAGATTGGAGTATTGAAAGGTTATCTGCCCTTTATCTTGCTTTGGCCCAATAATGAGTGGTTTGCTCCCACAAACATGCTTCAAATCGATGATTCAAATGTGCACCTTTGAATCAAAGGCTTTGATATTGTCTTTGCCAACTGCCAATTGTGCCGATTGTCTCTTTGGCAACTTTATGTAATGATAAGTCATAGTAGCTCACTAATGGAGCAATCTATTAACATATGAAGGATCAAGCATCTCTTGAATGCACCACCAACGATATTAGATCCCTTGGGCATGCCTTGTGGATATGCGTGAGAAGGTAATCCATGATAAAATACACTAAGAATGTGATCTGGGTGAATGGTGCTGGGAGGCAATACTGTACTTTTTGCTTCAGAAAACAAAATCCCCTTATAATGTTTTTAATTGGACTGAAATTTTATAGTCTGGTCTGGTAGTGGTCTCTATGTATTTTATAACTATCCAAGTCTAGTTTGGTCTCATCTAGTCTGGTATTGAAAACAGTCCAAATAAAAACATCCTTATTCTACTTTTGACTTTCAGTTGACTTATTATTGGTTTGTGCTGGGCCTAATCCAATCAGCACCAATAGGAAGTGATTCATTGAACTGAGTTGATAATTTCATCTTTTGGATGTCCAATGCCAAATCCTTCTTTAGGGTCACACCTAAATCTTGTTAAGGAATTGGGAGTAACGTAATTATTTCCAGTGTTTTAATGATACTGCTCCATCCCTGTCCTTTAAGCTATGTATTAAATTCTATTATTGGTTTTCTAGATTCAGAACTGATTATCCGACCGCCAAACCAGTGCAAAACAGAATAAATAAAAATGATAGGAAATCTGCAAATATCAATTGCTTGCTACTGCAGGTAGATTTGGCAAAGAGACATTGTTTTCCTGTTTACTGGAATGGAGAAAACCGCCGTGTATTGAGAGGTCACTGGTTTGCTTGTAGAGGAGGAGTTGATTGGCGTCCACTCCGAGAAGATGTTGCCGAGCAATTGGAGTATGCATATCGCTGTAAGGTATGTTTTAGGCATTTAGTGTTTGATGTTTTACAACAACAACAACATTAGCCCAGTGCCGCAAAGGCTCCCACCTACGGTGGGGTAAGTGGGGGTCGGATGTACGCAGCCTTGCCCCTGTACTAAAGCACAGAGAGATTGTTTCCAGATGACCCATAATGAAAATCGCGTCGAAAACTGCATGGACTGACTGCTACTCCATATCAAAGAAGCACAGACAAAGTGATGTTTGATGTTTTAGCGTAATAAAAACATATGAAATTATGAATGTGTTTCAACTAATGTTATTTTTGTGGGATACGTTGCATTAAAGTCTGTTGGGTGGCATTAATATAGCTCCATTCTGGTGCTCTAACGCATGGAGATGTGATGTGTAACTAATTCAACACACACACACACATAGCCACACTGCAAACTTTAGCACGTGTGGACACAATATGAAGTGTGCGTACCTAGACATGAAGTCTGCATATTTTTCCTTGTGCTTTTGTTTTAAGATGGTAATATAGTTAACATGGAGACTATTTCAGTCATACAGACCTTTTATCTATGTTTTGATCGCGTTGACTAGTCAAAAGACTGATTGATTAAATTTTGCTGCTTGTGCATAGGTTTGGCACCGCAGAAGCTTTCAACCATCTGGACTCTATGCAGCTCGAGTTGATCTTCAAGGCTTTACTCCAGTATGACATAATTATCATCAATGGAGTTTCTTTTCATTTGACAGCTTTTCTTCTAAGTAATATGCTTTATGGGTCCAGGGACTACATGCTCTCTTTACAGGAGAAGATGATACATGGGAAGGCTGGCTGAATGTTGATGCCTCTGGTTTCTCAGGTGTTTTTCGTTTTGGAAGGAATGACATTAAGTTAAGACGTGGATATGCTCCATCACAATCGATGAAACCAACACAAGTTGTCGCCTTTTATCTCTACCTTGATGATATATATATGTTTACTCTTGAATACTTCTCATTTTGATAATACAAAGTTAAAATGTTTTTCTTAGGTACCATAAGTATTTTAAGTCCTCCTTTCATCCTATTTTATTTCTCATATTATTTTAATCTATCCCTTAATAATGTCCACTTTTCAAATGTAAAACCTCTACCTCCAAATATTCCCTTTTGAATCTCTCAACCTATTAAAATTGACATGACTTGGTGTTCCTATTTGAGGGGAAACATGGAAAGTAGAGCGTTTATTATTTTTCTTCTTTCAAGATTGTTCCAAATGCAAATGTTTCTATATGGAGTATTTCAGAACTTAGGTAGTATATTGTATGGAAATATTGAATGCTTTTGAAAGTTCAAGGAATGAAATGTAAAAGGGTCAAGGTCCAATTACACCTGGTTCCTGACATATTGATGACAAATGCATAATGTATTTGCATAGATTCACTCTGATCTTTAAACAACAAACAACAACAACATCCAAGCCTTAGTCCCAAAAGATTTATTTATTCTGGTCTGTACAAATTATTTTTTAAAATTAAGGTCGGGCGCAGATTGCCGTAATAAAGTGAAGTGGAAATTTATTTGTTGGAAATAGAACCGGTCTATTCTCTCTTTGTCATCCAAAATATTAAATGTCTTATTCTAGAAGGTAAAATTGGCAACACATGGGTAAGTCAATGTACTGGGCCATAATTTTCTCTGTTTTTTTCTTTAAAATTCGTTTCCTGCCCATGTTTCATGTATTTACTTGGCGTATCACTCATTGTTAGATACTTTTTCTTCTAGCTCCATAACAACCTTAAAGTTATGAATGTTATTTCTGGTGCATTGAATATATTTGGCTACTCCAGAACGAGTTAGTTTTGCTTTTGTACTCATGGAACTGCAAAATAGCTCTCACCCCAACTCTCATTTGTTGCTTTTAGGACGAGTTACGTCAGAAGAGGGAGGAGGCAATGGATGATTATTGTTCACAGGTATAGCTAGGTGAATTTTACTTAGAGTCATGTGCCAATAGGGTTTATATAGTTTCTCTTAGTTTAATCCAAAAAGGTCATGTATTTACAGGCCTGAGGAAACTGTTCTCTGCCAATTTGCATATTCATCCTTTTCTGGCCTATCTATCGCTCTATTTCATATTCATTTTTTTTGTGTGTGCTGTTTTGCTTATTAAAAGAGCATTCCTAGTAGCCTTTTTGACTATTGAGCTTGTCAAATACTTCCTCAGAAGCCAGTTGAGATGCCAAACCTTGAGCTCATGTTTCCTTTCATTTTTCATGCTTTGTTAGTTATTATTCTAGTTTTCAATCTCCAAATCACATTCATTAAATTCTGGTGAGGTAGGCTGTTTCTTGCAGTCGAACTGGGAGTTGGTATGTCATACGATCTATTCATCTTTAAGATCAAGAGTCGGTTAAAACTGCCTCTTTACTGCTTTATTGTCTTATGTGCTAGTTGAGTGATCCCAACTCAACCCTGAATTCTATCAATTTGGTTTATGACTTTATGTGTTATTGTGAGTGCTGTATGTCATGACTTATCATATTTATTAGCGAAGTTTCCCTTTTAATTCTTCAAGATTATGGGTATTATGTTTATATAGTTTAACATTACCAAATATATCATATATCATAACTATATAAAATTCGAGTAGCACTAATCATTGCCGATTCAATTAATGGTTATAATATTTTCCGGTTCAATGGCCAGTCTGGTTATAAAAACCTTCCCCAAATATAAAATCATAGGACATGTTTACTGCCACCTATTCTTTCAAATTATTAAAATGAAAAAGACATCACCACTCACTTACTCCGGTGTTAGAAATGTGCAGTTTTGCCATAGCTTTGTCATTCTCTGACAAGGTGGATTAGAAAGTGAAAAACCTGGAGAGCTAGATACTGCAGAGGGAAAACCATATATTTCCATAGATAGGAATGCATAAAAAGGGTTCTACAAAAGGATAAAAAATAGGTGCATCGGATTCTATATTTCCATTTTGGAGAAATTGCCTCCACAGACCATAGGTTTATCATGCCATTATATCATAATATCATACTCCCTCTGTCCCAAATTGTTTTGCAAAGTCAACATTTTTTGGTCAACCAATAATAAAAGTCAATTGTCCCAATTGATAGTTAATTCAATTTTTAATAATTAAAATTTACATATTCAGAAACTACACTAAAATCTCTTCAAAGTTGTAAACAGCATATTAGAATTAAAAACTGACATCCTAATTAAGCGAATAAAATGAAACTGTTTGGCCAAGAAAAGTCAAATTTGCAAATCAATTTGGGACGGAGGTAGTATCATATTATCAATAAATGACATCATTCATAACATTGATAGAGAGATGGAGCACACACTGAACTGTAAATTGGAGACCATAATTTAACATTAATGAGGTCTACTTAACTTATTTGTATGATTAATTGGTTACTTAGCATTTCCAGTATGAATCAGTCAATTTGTGTCATACTAAATGCGTATGTGTTACACTTAACATTGTACTGATGTGAGAGTGATTATGAATGAATACAAGAAAAAGTTTTCTTCTAAAGCACAGTAACACATATCTAATGTGTAATTCCACTGTAGGTCCCAGTAAGTTTTCTTCAAAAGCACAGTAGCAAATATCTAATGGGTAATTCCACTGTAGGTCCCAGTTCGCCATTTAGTATTCATGGTCCATGGAATTGGTCAAAGGCTGGAGAAATCTAATCTGGTGGATGATGTTGGAGATTTCCGTCATGTCACAGCAAGCCTTGCTGAAAGGCACTTAAGTTTATATCAACTTGGCAAACAAAGAGTCATCTTTATTCCATGTCAGGTAAACTTCATTTTGCTCTTGCTTCATATGCTATTCTGCTGTTCGTCCCCTGTTTTTACTCATGGAGATATTATAATTTTGCTTTTATTGATACGTTATGCTACTTTTATATGGAGTATATATGATGCAAGTTTGTGTTTTTTATTCATCCATAATGAAAGGATATTAGACGTATAAATAAGCGGGACATTATACTTAAGCTAGCAAATTACTTATCGCCAAACCATAGCTATCGGTGAATCCAAGCAGGCATTGGTGTATTTGTGCTACGAATTGTCTTAGTTTACCAAAATGTGAATTTTTTTTATCCTATTTCTTTCAAGATGCCGATGCAGGCCTTACTTTATGTAGAAGGGCTATGTTTATACGCTTGAAGTTGCTGCTGTCAAGAAAACTAATGTGGCTGTGCACATAGTGAAGAATTTAATTAATAGAGTGAGAAGAAAATATCCATCAAAGACCAAGAAAAGATGAAGCCTTTTGGACAAGTTGTTGTTCAACTTTATTTAAGCACATATCTTTTACTTCATTGCCAGCATAAATCTTTCAAATTACAATATCCACTGTATGCGTGCAAAGAATATTTTATCGAATGAGAAGGAAAAAAATCTTCAAAGGAACCTTTTAGGAGTGGAGCCTCAACCAGTTTTATATGATCAAATTTATTTTACTTTGTTGGCCAATAAAAAATGTTTTCTAATTGTGAAGAACATGGTTTAAACAAAACTCAGGGATTGTCAACTACCTGAGTTTCTATCATTACATTGTTTTAGCAAATTTATTCTGGATCTTTGTATCCCTTTAGGAAACGTTTATCTTCCTTTCTCTTTATTTCTTTAGCTCTCTGGTATTGTAACTATTATATTATTGGATCCTTGAAAGTTGAAACTGATTGGTGCCACTGATGACATTCAATGCCCCCATTTTTGAGCATTACAGTGGAGAAAAGGCTTAAAATTAAGCAGTGAGAGTGCAGTGGAAAAGTGCACTTTAGATGGCGTCCGCGGGTTTCGTACAATGCTGAGTGCAACAGTACATGATGTGTTGTACTACATGAGTCCCATATACTGCCAGGCTATTATTGACTCGGTACTATATTCTGGTCTGCTGTTCTCTCCTGGAATTATTTCATTTTAAAACTATCTTTTGCTTTCTTTTTTCTTTGTTATTGGAGTGTATTCTGACTTCTCCTAGTATCTTTAATTGCTTAAGATGTTCCTTTTCTAGATTTGCTATCAGACTGAAGGACATTGGATTGACAAGGAGATTTTGAAAATGAAATTGCTGTGTGTATGTAGTGAACATTTAATGAGGAATTCTTTATTTTATTAATGGATTAGGACATCAAAATTTCTAATAATAAATAGTCATTGGACATAAAAGAAAGGTTTTTGTACATAAGCATGACCACATATGGTCCTCCCTTTTTCCATTTTGTTAGATACGCTCTTCTTTTTATTTGATCTGAAATTATGTTCAATTCGTAAACATAAACTCATTAATTTGGGGAGTATCCGAAGTCCAATACACCATTGAAATTCTCTGCTTGGTTATACTTGTACTACTTAATAAGTGAAGTACTAAAACAACTAAACACATACATTAACTAAATCACTAATCAAGCACTACTAAGATATTTTGCCAAGGAATGAACTGTCACTATGATTTTTTATTTGTATGTATTTGTAGTGTCAATTTTCGACTCTTAATTGATTATGTAGGTTTCATGACACCATCCCTGATGTAGTTAGGATTAAGGTGGTGATGATAAAGTGAACTGAATTACTATTGCTACAAGCCCACAATTGCTTTATTGCTTCAAATTACCCCGACTTCTGTCACACCTGTTGCTTATTCTTTTTTCCCTTTTAGGTTTCCAACCAATTAAATAGGTTATATTTAAAGTTCATCAAGAGGAATCCTGGCTATGATGGAAAGGTATATGCAGGCGGAACATGAAAATTTGTTGCTTTCATATTTTAAGAATCCTTGGAAGCTCATATTCCTGCTTTTTTGTTATTGTAGGTTTCCATATATGGTCATTCACTAGGGAGTGTTCTATCATATGATATTCTCTGCCACCAAAAGATACTGTCCTCTCCGTTTCCGATGGAGTGGATGTATAAGGAAGAAAATGAGAAGAAAGTGTCATGCCATGACAAGAGCGTAGTATCTCTTGACCAGAATTCAGCCTCCAAATTGAATGATGAAAGCCTTTCTAGCAACAGAAGAAAGGACATGGCGAATATGCTAAGCATTGACAACATGGACGTAGATAAATGTTGTACAGATCTGGTGGAAGATAGTACTGAATTCATATGTCATCCGATCAGTCCGACTGCATTGTCAGACTCAGATGAAGCTGATGTGAGCAATATCGGTAACATGCTACCTGGTGATGGGAATGATTTGGGCATTGACCAAGACATAACTTGTGGTACTCCTCAAATAGCAAAATGCGGAATTACTGGGTCTGACAAAACAAAAGTTGAAGGAGAATCAGAGAGTGATAAAGAAAAAATAATTATGTCATTGAGAGAAGAGGTTCTGATATATACAGAGATATAAATTTTCTAAATTGCAATGATGGTTGCTTGTAGATTTTACGCCAAATGACATTTTTCAATGTGTCAGATTAGTTTGCTGACAGCCAAAATCAGAGAATTAGAATTTGAGCATGTACCTCGAGGTTTGTGTTTTGTTCATTTCATTCAGATATCTCAAACATTATCTATATCTATTTTCTGTCAGGCAAAAGACCGTTAGTTTATTTGGCTTTGGTGCTTCTTTTTTTACCTTTCTGTATAAAACACACAGGGAATGAGGGAACAGAAACAGATACAACTAATCATTCTACACGGGAAAATGCATTGTCGGAGCAATGTAATTCACATAAGAGTTATACTCCCTTCATAAAATACACGAAGTTGGCATTCAAGGTACTCCCTCTGTCCCATTTTAATGTTCTGGGTTTGACTTGACATGAAGTTTTAGAAAATAAATTTGTTGTGTGTTGAGATTTATGCAAAGGGAAATTCCAGAATATGAAACACATTTTTTACTTATCATGAAAATTATTGAGGAATTGCCGAAAAAGGAAGTAGAAAGATAAAAAGGGGACGTAATATTTTGAGACTGTTGGAATATATTATTTGACACTAATCAACAACCAGGTTGCTACTTTTTTATGTTAGCGAGTAGCAACAAATAGTTGGCATTCAGGGTGCTCCCACTGTCCCCTTGTAATATTTGGGGTTTGACTTGGCATGAAGTTTAATAAAATGAGAATGTTGTTGTTGAGATTTATGTAGAGAGGAATGGTTGAATGTGAAACACATATTGTTTGCTTAAATGGAATATCAGAATTACTTAGGGACGGCCTAAAAAGAAAAGTGGGAAGATAAAAAAGGGACAAAGGGAATACCATAATGACATTGTGGGTCTAGATAATTTTACAAATCAACAATCAGCTGGTATTACTATTCTTCAAAGTTAGCAACAAAAAACAGTTTTACATTTATTCTTGTTTTTGTTTTGTATAAATTGCATTTTAAATTCTTCCTTTTTTACTATCCGAGAATAGGTTGATACATTTTTTGCAGTCGGATCTCCTCTTGGAGTTTTTCTCTCTCTGCGCAATGTTCGCATCGGAATAGGTATTTTCCGTTGCTTTATTAGCCTTGTATAGACATGAATGTCTGTGTGGATGCAGCATGATTTTTATTTGTTATACGTGGTAAAAAGTCTCTCTGTGTACAAGGGTAAGGCTGTGTACATCCGACCCCCCCTTACCCCACCGTAGGTGGGAGCCTTTGCGACATTGGGGTAATGATGAATGAATGAATACATGGTAAAATGTGAAGTGTATTGATGTAATGTTGGATATTCTAACCATGTTAGTGGTAGCGGGCTTAACACATTTTGTATACTTTTTATGATAAACATGGATCCCTCAGTACAATTTATGTTCCTTAAATATGTTACGTGGCATTAAAGCCCCTTTGATCCATTAGATTTAGTCCCCCTTGGCTTCTATTTTGTTTTCCAGCAGAACATTCCTCACACAAGCTTTTTGTTAATTTGTTCTTTTTCGATGCCCCATGAAAAACCCATTGTCATCCACTGCTGCATGCACTCTCATGCGTCACAACTGTTGAAATGATTTCAGACTACATCCCTTACTACAACGACAATCTTGGGAAGTGACCTACACCAGCACATCTCTGCCAGCCCCACAGTTTTTGACAAACATATTTCTTGGTAGTCAAGTGTCAGAGAATATTTTTCTTGAGGTGTGTTACATCAGTCATCTTGTGTCTATGTACATCAAGGTAATGAGGCAGTAGAACTTAAGAATCATCAATCAATTAGTTGAAACTTCCCACCCTTTTATTACCTCATGCCTATACCCCTTCCATTTTTGGGAAATGGGAAGATGTTTTTGTCACAACCATGTTACATTGTTATGTGGTAAGTCACATGTGATCTTCTATTATATTATTAATGCCCCATACTAGGCTGTCTTTTCTAACATAGACTTGTTTTACCTTCTTCCATGCACGTTCTTGTGTGTCTTCTTTATTATCAACACCACACCACACCGCAGTTTGGGTGATCTTACTTCTACCCTAAAGCTTTCAAAGGCATTCTCTGATATTCACTCGTTCCGAAAGGGTATCGATGTTACACTTCAGACTACAAACATCACTTGGTATTTCCAAATGTGAGTTATGTGACATTCTTCAAGTCATCAACCCTTACTTTTTGTAAGGGTCAACACCATGAGGTCCTACCAATCCTACCTGCTACAACTATGACCTCAATCCATATCCTTTCTGTGATTTAGTACGCCTTCTTTGGGGTTATCAGCCTCATCTTCATTGTTAGAGCTTTACGTCAGACAAAAAGAAAACGTTAGGTTAAAAAGTCCTTGTGTTGAATTAGCTACTAGATTTGAAGTGATAATTAACTGCTCTGATATGATGATAGAATGCAGGTTTGGGTTGGGGTCACTAAAGTGGGCCACAGTGCACAACCAAGCCACGCTAAACGATGAACCCTATCTATTAGCTAGTTAAATAAAAGGTCTTATTAATTCATCATTTTCTTACACTTATCTTGTTACAGTTGAAACTCACCTGACTCACTGCTTCCCTTGTAGGTACATAAAAGTATATTGTTCCACGACTTCCATCATTACTTTCTTGTGATGGTGTCTTTAACTCTGGAGTCCTTGCTACAAGTCTTTGTCACATTTTTTATTCCTTGTCTAATCTCTAAAGCTACTCCATCATTTCCAATGGAACCAAAGACTCGCTATTTTTTGGCTTGGAGATATAATGGAATAAAGTAAAATGGTTCACTATAGTGTCTGTGCTTCTTTGTTATGAAGCAGCCGTCAGCCCATGCAATTTTGTACTTTAGTACAGAGATAAGGCTGCGTACATCCGACCCCTCTTATGTGACCGTAGGTGGGAGCCTTTGTGGCATTGGAGTAATGTTGTTGTTGTCTATTCCCTAAAGCTATTCATGAGACTCTTTCCGATTCAAGGTGCTGAAGAACTATGTTAACTGAGATGGATAGTCTAGAGCCTATCATCATAAAGCACTGGCCTATGGATTACTTATGGAGAATTAGAGATAGGGATAGTGTCCAGATTAGCGGAATTTCAGATATTGGTTGGAATATGGAAAATATGATGTGGTTGTCAGTTGTAGTTCCAAAGATGAGTATTGTACATTAGTCCTTGCCATGTGACTATGTGAGCTTATATGATTGAAGCACTCTGGAGTTTCAGTATAGTTAAGTGACAGAGATGACTCTTATATACGTTATAAGTTATAACTGATTACCAAGCAGCATTGCACATTCCCGCTCTTTTACACTGTAGATAATGCAAGATAATGTTCTGGAGTCTAGACACATCTCTTTACAAGCTGTGTTGATTGTGGTGATTAACTTGGAGACGTATTAACAGAATCTTTCAAAAGCCGTATAGATTGACACATTTGCAACAAGTTTGCTGTATATGCCATATATATGCTCTAGCTTGAAGGGAAGAGCTGAACATGGTGTTAGGTCTCATAACCCCAACCCTAGTAGTAGCGAGTTAGCACATTTGTTTACTTTTATATTATAAATTTGGTCCTCTTCTACAAAATACCATACATGATACATCAACATAACACTGTACATACACCTCTTATACTTCATGTAGTAGATGGCCTATGCTTTGACAATGATACTTAAGCTGGCTTTCCCCCCTAACCCCCTCCCCCATTACGTATGTAGCTTCATGGTAATTATGACATTATTTTTGGCATTTCTAAAAAGGAAGTAATAAATGCGCACATCTAGTTCAATGGATGGCTTGTCTAGCTTCCTGGCGGTAGTTTGTTGTTTTTCTAGATTTTATGTGGGCATTGGGCAGATTGCTGGTGTTGCTAATTGCAGTGGGTAGTTTTAACTTTCAGTATCTCATGGTGTGGTGATGTAAGTAGCTCGTACTTAACTTGGTTGGTCATTTTTTAATTACTTTGACTGAGATTTTTGAGTCGACTACCTTATCATATTTTATACTTCCTCCGTCCCTTAAAGGTTTGCCAAGTTTGACCGGCACATAGAATAATAAAAGTAAAAACTGTGTGATAGATATTTGTGCAGATGAGAGAGAAATAACAGGAGCCACAAATTGATTGATTAAAATGGAAAGTGGCAAAGTTTTTGGGACAACCAAAAAAGGAAAGTTGTCAAAGTTGCAAGGGACGGAGGGAGTATTAAAGATTGCCTACTCCATATTTTTTAAACTTTATGTGTTTAAAAGTATTTTGTATGAATTTGTATGCAAGTTTGTACTTGTTCTCAATTTGATAGAATCTTACAATTCGTTTCAGAATTCAACTATTTATTCTTTATATTTTACATAGAATCTCAATTTTGATTACCTTTCCCATATATTCTTGTACTTTTATTCTTTTTGGGGTTTCTAGGCCAAGGGCAAAAATATTGGGAAGAAGAAAATATTAATGAAGAAATGCCAGCTTGTAGACAAATGCTCAACATATTTCACCCTTTTGATCCTGTGGCATATAGGTTTGGCTTGGATGTTTTTTGTATTTGCTTAGATTCTTTGTACGGCATAGCAATTAACCTGGAATAATGCTGGTTCTTTATCCAGAATTGAACCGCTCGTATGTAAAGAATATGTTAACAAACGACCAATCATTATTCCCTACCACAGAGGTGGAAAGAGACTGCATATTCAATTTCAGGTTAGCCTCGGGCCTCACAAATTGTTTTTTTCTTATGTTTGTCCCTCTCTCACACTCTGTCACAAACAGGAGGTCACTGAAGGAGTGGCTTCAAGATCACATGCTTTTGTCAACCGCATAACCTCTGCAGGGGTGAGAAACTATAAGTTCTGTCATTTACTTCCTAGCTATTTAATTGCTTACACAGTAGTACATTCTAGTTAGCTCAACTGGGTAGTCTGGATGACATGCAATTAATACCAAATGAATTTTACTCACCATTACTCCTGTAGAGTTATAAACATATTGCTTGAATTTAGAATAAAAATAAATTGAACGGTTGCAGCCCTGCATACAAGTTAGAACTTTGGAAAAAAGAAATGGTGAGGCAGAGTTATGCTAATTTTCAAAATGACCAACACTTCTGGGTATAGAGTACACTATTAATGTTGGGTGTAAGGAATACAAAAAATAAGGAAGTTCTAAACAAGAGGGAGAGCTGTAAATTCATGATTGTTTAATGTAGCAGACCTATATGGTTGAATACAGCACACCTCTAGCGTATAATCACACACTTAGCACACCTCTAGCGTATATTCATCACACACTTAGAATACCTTGCATTATCCACATAAACTTAGCACATCTAGCATTCTTTACATTGTCCTAGTGCACCTATGATGCATTGATTGGAAATGATACATGTGGATAAAAACCAAGATAATTGCACCATCCTAAGCTGGTGGTGCAACTCATCTGCTTGAATAAGGTTATCACAAATGGTCATGTTTCTTTTCTTTTCTTGGCATTAATGGCTATAGTATGATGCATTATTGGCTAGTTCTTGTAAACATCACAAAATCAAGTACACGATCCAATATATTTTCTCAACATGGCCTCGAATGAGTGGCTTGAGTAAAATGTCCGACTACCAAGGTGAATAATATTAAGCACTCTGCTGTCTTCATCTTCAATCCACCTACATTTTCTAAATTTGAGAGGTGTGCTTATGTATGTTATTTTACCTAGAAAATTTGGAGGCAAAGAAGAGCATGTCAAAATTATTTTGGCCGATGCCCCAAGTTGTATGTGTACCCCAAACTATTGCATTTGACACGGCACCCTAATGCACGTGATCTTTTATATTGTGACACATGGTTTTTACACTTCCTTTGATGTTATATATTTACATCCATCTCAGTTTGATGAGTAAAATTGAAGGGAACCCTCAAGGAGATATTAGTTGCAGCTATATGAGGCCTAAAGCCTAAGCAAGGCCTTTGTGGAGTTGAGGAACACTGCAAATATTTTCCGAGTCCCAACCATACCTTCTTTAAGTCAGTACCCCTGTTGTTCCCGAGAAAACAGTGCTACAACCTCATCTTGTTCCTTGAGGAATAGTACATTTGCATTCCATACAAGAACTAGGAGTTGTGCGACCTTTCAAATATGCTCTGTGACAATAATCGATAGCCCAAGAAAGAACTAATGAAGTTCTATTAATACATGACACACACTGCCAAGGAATGTAAAATGTAAAACTAGTCTGCAGTCCAATAAAGGGAGTCTTCTCAACAATACTCTCATAGGCACACTACATCAAATTTTGGTTTTAGAACAATTATAAGTGGAGGATAATTATAAGTGGTTAGCAAACAAGAAAGTGCATTAATTTGGAATAAGTGTGACCCATTTTAAAGAAAACCTTAATGTGATAGTTGGACTTTACAGGTGCAATACATATTTATCCCAATGCGCTCCTTCTCATGTGTGAGCTAATATTCTTTAATGGCCAATGACTGCATGTAAATATTTTTCTGACTTGATCTCATAGCATCTCTGCGTAAAAACTGTTCCAAAAATTGTCATGCTCCTCATATTTTACAATGGTGTTGTCTCAAATGTCAAATCCAGCATTCTTTAGGGTTGTCTGGGGAAATACCTAATTATAGTTGAATTGATAAACTCCAAGATTGTTTAGTTATCATTGCATGATTGAAAGTGTTTAAAACATCATATCCCATGTCTCCATTGACATATCCGTTAGCCAATCCCATGTAACCCAATGAATGCTTGTACCCTCCAGCTTATTGCTCCACCAATACTAGGCTACCATTGATTCCATTCCTCCCATAAGTTTTGAGGTAGCAAAAAGAAAATCATCAAATAGTTAGGAATAGTCAATACCATTTGACTTTATTGGCACTTCTCTTTGCACTCTATCAATTCATTAATCCCCACATTTTGTCCCTTATGTTTTGTAAATCCTCATCTGTACACCCTACGAGTCTACAACACATGGCAAGTCCACGGTTTCGCCGTGTTATTCCACCTCATTGACGTGTCAAACCTGAGATGTCTCTTCTCGTCTCCTTGCTCACTGAAAAGATTTGTAATAACATCTTGTTTACATCTGTTTCTTTATAAAATACCTTCCAATGTTTTTGCTAGTTGAAAGTGTTTAATTAGTGACAATGTCTATTTTTTATGAGTGGTGTCATTTTATGAAGTGTTATAGGCAGAAGGCATTTTTTGTCTCACTTAAACTGGGCACGTGGGATTGAGTGGTTTTTTCTTTAAAAGATTTTTCTTAATAGTTTGCTTTTTAAGTAGGTTAAGGTGCTCACACTCTGCGAGTCAAGAGAAAAGGATGATGAGGAAGGTAACTAAATCCTTCCTGTTTGTAAATTTTCAGATCTATGCCTTCTCTTTCTATCATTTTTTGCTTTCACTGCACAAAAAAATCCTTGCAGGGGAAACTCATGAAGCTGAAGTCGAAGCAGATAGGTCATATGGTTCAATAATGATAGAGAAGTTGACGGGAAGTGAAGATGGTCAGATTGATCATGTTTTACAAGTACGGATATATTTTTTCATACTATCTGCAAAGTTTTACTGCATTTGAAGTTGATGCTTGGATGACAGTCCCTTATATTTTAGGTATCTAATGTCAAATTACCTCTGATGACTGACTTGCTGGCTTTGTGTATTGTTGATTTTAAATATGCTTTCATTAATAGCTCTTGTAGTGCACACACAGAAGAAGTTTTCTCTATTGCTGTATTTGTTGATTTTTGTCTTTCCAATCTCGAACATTGAGTTCACACATGAAGTGATGAAGATTAGAATTTTCCGTTTTGTTGATTTTGAAAAGTTTCTCTTTTTTTGTGCCTCTGACTAAAATTGACAACACACAGTTCATATAAGACACAACTAAAATACTTGAAGAGACCATATAGAACGAGATTAGTACATATCACTTTCCTTCGGGGATGAGTTTGATAAATAAAGGTCTATCCTTTTTGCCATATTTAAATGGGAAATGCCAGGGGTTACAAAACAGTAGAAAGATGTATGTATGTGGTACGCTGCATTATTCATAAAAGCATTCTAACTCTGCTATCATTTACTCCCCTGCCCTGGTATGAGAAAAAGAGATTCATGTTTGAAACATTGTTTTGTTTAAAAAGAGAGTCAAAACTCATGTTTGTTCAAATGAAGTCAGTTTTCATGTAATTTGCTAAAAAAGTCACATACAACTGATACAAGTTACATTGTGAATTGTGATGAATTTAGATAAACCAACAAAGAAACAAACACATTTTAAAGGTATGAGTTGCAATTTGATACTCCGTATAATAATTGTACCTTACCAAATTCTAGAAGTTGTAAGTTGGTAAACCATGTCTCTTTTGTGGGACAAAGGTAGTATTTTGTGTCATGTTTCAATTTACCTTTCCGTTATAGTGTTCTTTTTGCGCCATTTAAAATTAAAAAATATTGTCTCGGCCAAAATGGTTTGGGGTCATATCAGCCCAAGATGGCCAGTTTTTTGGCCGAAACAGGACCAAGTGGGTTAGTGGATTTTGTTAAGTTATCCTCTTTTCCCTACTAGTTTCCATCATTTGCAATGGCGCCAAAGACTCATTTTTTTTTGTCTTGGGAATATGATGGAATAAAGCAAAATGACTCACTAAAGTACTAAACTGACTGCGCTTCTTTGTTATGAAGCAACAGTCAGTTCATGCAATTTTCAACGCGATTTTCCCTATGGGTCATCCAGAAACAGTGTCTCTGTGCTTTAGTACAAGGGTGCGGTTGCGTACATTCAACCCCCTTTACCTCACCGTAGGTGGGAGCCTTTGCGCCACTGGGCTGAAGATGCAGCCCGGAAGGAAGCACGTTTTAATTTTTCCTACTAGAACATAAAACGTTTTGGCCATTCTGGAAGGAAGCACGTTTGAATTTAGTGTGCCTATGAGAGTATTGTTGAGAAAAATCCCTGCACCCCAAACATTCTTCTCAACATGATGATGATCCTCTTTTCCCTACTAGAACGAAACGTTTTGGCCATTCCGGAAGGAAGCACGTTTTAATTTTTCTGAATGGTGTTAGCCGAGTGCCAATATATTCGGGAAAATAAGGATACAATTATAAACTTCGTTATTAGCATGTACCTGCATCTACCGCTGCTCATTTTTGGCAAGTTTCTTTATATTGCATTGAAACCTTTTTGATGTTGTGTGTGCGCACATATTATCTCAGTAATCAGTGATTCTTGTATGTTTTCTTAAATTCTGATGTGTTTCCAATCCAGGACAAAACATTTCGCCATCCTTACATCTCTGCCATTGGATCACATACGTAAGTACACAATATTTGCATTTGAAAGTAAAGAAAAAGGAAATCTATGCTCCTTTTGGATTGGAATTGAACCAAGGTGAATCTATGTAAATAATTTAAGTGCGGTGAATCCTTGACCCTGATTCATTCTGTTTTTGCCTCTACCCCACTCCAAATTGGGGAGTCAATGTGAATGTCTTAAAGTTTTATTTAACTAATTCACCTCAATTCAAACAAGGCAAGACAAACTCACCTTTGTAGAGAACTAGTTTATCCAAAAATATCTTTTGATATTCAACCTATTTCTTCGAACCTATATTATTTTTTCTGTTCAACATAACTTGAGTGAATCGCAATCCAAACGGAGAATTAATGTGAGGAACTTGGGGGTATGGAGGAAAGAATTGTGATTTTCATATCCTTTTAAACTTTATGTATTACCACTTTCTTGTACTACCTCCGTCCCATTTTATGTGTCTCATTTAACTTTGGCCCAATTATTAATAAAATTGTTGAAAATATAAAAGTTATGGTTGAGATTTGAGTATAATAAAGTGCAATGTTGTGCACCACATATTTCTTTCCAAAAAGGGAAATGCGACACTTATTTCGGGACAATCCAAAAAGAAAAGTAAGACAGTTAAATAGGGACGGAGGGAGTACTTGCTAAACTTTTCTTTCATGGGATTATTACTTTTCTTAAAATCATTGCAGAAATTACTGGAGAGATCCTGATACTGCACTTTTCATCCTGAAACATTTGTACCGGGACATTCTAGAAGATCATTCACCAGATGAGTCTTCAGACAGCCACTCAAAACTTGGGAGCGACGCAGGATACTGGTATGACCCTAATGAAGAGGCCGACGAAGAAACTCCCTTGACTTTCGCCAACAAAGACTTTTTGAAGAAATTTTTTCGTAGGTCAAGAATTACTAAATCATGACATTTACCTTCTTGGGGAATGGGAAAATTCTTTTACTTGTCATTGTGGAAAAAAGGTTCAAAGGTGATGGCTGTGCAAATCTTAAGACAAAACCCTGCCAGAAACTACATATGTGCGATTGATGATTGACGTGTCATATTATTAGTGAGGGTTTTACAACACTGTTGATTTGATGCAACATACTGTGTGTGTCAGTGTGTGTGTGTATGTACAGTATAGTGCACGACTTTATTGTGGCATGCAACTCAAACTGTAGTGTCTCCAGAATCTGTTAAGATTGTAAGCAGTGCAAGAAAATAGGTTAGCAAATACTCCCTACATATATTCCCGGTTTGACTTACACATATATTGTGGAATGTTCCCGGTTTGACTTACACATATATTAAGGAAATAAACTTATCATGGGGTAAATTTTACTGTTTTGACACTGTTTCGACACTTTTTGGCACTGTTTCGACACTGTTTGACACTGTTTTGCACTGTTTTACCCTGTTTTGATATAGGATAACTTTCCATTTAGGGAAATGAGAACTTTCCAACGGAATATCCAAAAAAGGAAAACGGGAACATTCCAACGGGACGGAGGGAGTAATTTCAAAGATTCATCAAGTTGTTTTAGGCCCTCTCTCTCTATATTATGTTAGCCTTTTATTGTATTCCTACATTGAAGAGCTTTTTCCATTTTTCATTCTGGTGTCTTGAAAAGAATTGCTTCCGCGATATGGAATATGTCATCTAAGTTGCTTGGAGCCTTGGGTGAGAAGTATTTAGTTCATCACTGACTGAACATATATTTTTTATTCGAAGAGAGTTTTTTTCTTTCTGTGCAACGGCCATCCTAGAGAACAAAACTTGCAATTTGCAGACAGAAAACCTGGCTGCATTTACAATCTCACTTTTGCTACCCAACGTTAGTGTAGCAGTTTAAATTTTTTAAGGTAAAACTGTTTGGCCCATGAAATATTACCAAAAAATTAATTAGGCCCTCCAAGTCTCCAACTAAAACAACACCCAACTAAGTTTGTGAACTATACGAAAACTGTCAAATTTCTAAGTTAGACGGTTGATTTTAGGTCAACCGGTCACTTTGCTAATGTTGTCAATTTTTTCCTTTTTCGTTTCTTTCCTTTTCTTTTCTTTCTTCCGGCCGACCTCCCTTGGGAGGGGGAGGGGGCTCAGTTGAACCAGACGAAGAAAGAGGGGGGTAGGGGAGGAGTGGGGCTGAAAAAAGATGAAGAAGAAATCTATAGAATAAACATAAAGAAAATTTTTCAACAACCTCATCTTTGACCGATCTTTTTCATATAATCTCATCTTGGTGTAATCTTAGCATAATCTCACTTGGTCCAAGTGAGTTTATGCTAAGATTACACAAAGGTGAGATTATATGAAAAAGTCCATATCAGGTTTTTTGTTTTTTCTTTGAAAATCTTTCACAAATCTGTTCAAAAGTCCAAACAGTCTCATGTTTCATTTTTTATTTTTTCCTTCCTAAAACTTTTCTTTCTTTATTTTTATCTTTAGACATTTTTTATTCCTTTTCCCATCCTTTTGTTATTATTTCTTTTCCATATTCATTATTTTATATCCTTTTGTTTTTTTTGTTTTTTTTTTGTAAAATTTCTTCCCAATTATGTTGTCTTTTCCTTTTCTTCCTGTATTTTTATTTCATTTCCCTTTTTATGTGTTTCTCTTCTTAATCATTCTCTTTTTATTAAAAATCTTTTTTCTACTCTACGTTTTGTTATATTTTCTTTTTATTTTCACTTTCCTCCCTTTTTTCTTGTGACTTTTTTTTATATTTTTCTTCTTTCTTCTTGTTATCTTAATTCCACTATCTACATATTTTTTTCTCCTTTCTGCATTATCATATATTTCTAAGTAATTCTTCCCATTAATTCCATCAACTATGAAAAAAACTATGCGACAAAAAGATTAGGGAAAAATAATATTGAAAGAAAAATAAAATATTTCAGAAATTGTAAGAAAGAAAAATTACATATTCCCATTTTATTTTTCTTCACATTTCCCGAATGTTTTATACTCCCTCCGTCCCTGAAAATACTTCCAACTTTCCCTTTTCGTCTGTCCAAAAAAGAATTTTCTTTCCCTTTTTGGCAAAGAATTTGTGATTCACAGCAATTCTTACACATTTCTCTCTCCTCTCACAACTCTCCACCACACAAAACCCAATTTCTTAATCCGTGTGGCATTTGTACTACAGAAGTAAATTATGCAACGGAGGGAGTATTTATTTTCTCTCAAATCTTTTTATCACATAGAGCTTTTCCAACAATTGATGGAATTAGTAAGTAGGTTTACTTAGAAAAATAAAGAGAAAAAATATAGAGGGAAAAATTGAAATATGGGAGTGTTTTGAGCAAATTTGTGAAAGGTGAAATTATTTATGTAAGTTTTTTTACAAAAAAAAAGAACGAAAAGCTTGGTATAGTAGGTCATCAACTGGTTGGGGTTCACCGAAACAAGATAGAATGCAGATGTCAGATTATTCCTGAATTACGTAAATGTGTGATTATTATGAGAAGATGATCGAATTTAAGATTATTCTTGTCAATTTTTCTTAAATATAAAGGGTTGTCCCTTTAGTTGTCCAAAAAAGGAGTTGGGGAAAAAGAAATAAGTAAGAAAAAGAAAAAGCATTTAAAATTGCCAACTGAACTGCCACGTCAGCAATATCACCGACGGTAAAATATATAGTACACCCGGTTGTACCGTGCACACAGTGTAATCAGCCTTTTTGTTCTGTTGCGCGCCACCCGCGTGGCTCACGCATATCTCTTCTTCTCCAGCTTGCTCGTCACTCGTATCTCTTCTTCTCCATCTCGAGCGGCTCTTAGCTTCTTAACTCGCCACTCGGATCGTTTTGCTCGCCACTCAAATCTCTTCGGTTGATACCCATCAACCACCATATCAGAACTTGATGACGAAGCTCTCAACGGAGGCTATGAATTGATTTCACAATCGACGACGACGAAAGGAATATCAACACTCGATCTCCGGTTGAGTTTGCCACAGGTTGTGAGGAACCTAAGATATATACGTAGTATTACTGATATGAGCATCCACAAATGAAAAGTTGAGCATAATAGAGATTTAAATGAGCTTTTTAAATTTTAGTATGCTTTTTAAATTTAAATGAGCTTCCACATTTAAATTTTTCAATGTTCATTTCGTAATTTAAGTATGTTCATTTGATATTTGTGTGATACTCATTTTAAAATGTCATATTCATACATATATCAAAAGTATAATATTACATTAAGTTCATATATTAGATTCACACAGGTTCATTGTAAACATTTAAAAAATAAGAAAAACAAATTGAATTATAAAATATGAAGCCAATATCACGATGTCCATTATTAGACTCTCAACACTCAGTAGAATAGATCCGTTGTTCACTAAATGTGCATTAATACTTATTTAACGGAAGCCACAATTTTCACTTAAATTATGAAAATATCATGATTGTACGGTGTTCACCGTACAGTCGGTTGTACAGTATGCGTACTCCTATAACCCAATCGACCTTGTCCGAAGTTGGGTAAAATGGAAAAAATCCGCACGGGTAGCTCAGTTGGTCGAGTGATGGGAGATTTGGATGGACCAAGGTTTGAATCTCCGCATCGACAGGGTGGATGTCACAGAACCTGAAATAATGCTGGGCCTCTGGTGCGCCTACTGCCATTCTGCCATTCTGCTGACTAGGTCACCGTGACTAACCTCCCCACCATCCTGTCGGGTCGGAGTGAAGGCTCCTGGGGTGGGAGATTCCACCTTTTGGATGTGAGGGTAAAATGGAAAAAAATCTGCACCACGAACCGACAGTCACTCGACTATTAACGGATCAAGGTGAGTAACTAACCAATAAAAAAGGGAGAGATAAATAGTGAAGGCATAGCCAGTAGCTACCACCATCAAAGATGGAATCCGACCATTGAAGAAATCTTAAAACTAAGACTACCAATTGCAAGAGTGAGCGACATCATGTAAAAAGAAGTCAAAGAATTGGAGGAGTATCAATAGGATTAAATGTTTGATCAATTTGGTTCTTTTGGATACTTTGATCTTTGGTAACAGTCCTCCATTTGTTTTGTTTAATGCCCCTAATGGACCCGTGGATTGTACGGATATAATTTATTTTTTAATATAATATATTTCATGTGTAATATACACACTATCAAAAAATGACGGGATTGACACAAATTTTGGCCAAATCTGGCAAGAATTTGTCAAAATATATAGGGGATTTGGCATGCATAAATCAAATTCGTGTCAAATTTGTTTTGTCTCGAGCTATTTGGCACGGAACTGTTGATCAATCCACGCCAAATTCGTGTTAATCCTGTTATTTTTTGTGGGTGCATACTTATTGTATGAAAATTAAAACATGATAGAAATTATATTAGGGTGCATGTATGATAATTGCTAGAGACACACTAATCAACAGTCCTTATAAAATTGCCAAATAAACGCTCTGATCTTCCGTCCAAAATTTATCTTGTTTAATGAAGATGGTAATATGTAGTACGTAGAGCGTGTTTGGTCCAAAATTGCCAAATAAAATGTTTGATCCAAAATTGCCAAATAAAATGTTTGATCCAAAATTGACAAATAAACGCTCTGATTCAGCCGATTTCAGTGTTACCAAACGGGCTCGTAGTATCATATTACGATAACTATGTTGCTTATTCTATATACTAGTTATAATAATAGTATACTTTTGTTGAAACTTTTCAATGGTAACATAAAATAGTTGTTCTATAAAAGAACTTGTAGTTAATTGTTCCAAAAGGTGGAATCTCCCACCCCAGGAGCCTCCCACCCCGACCCGATAGGATGGTGGGGAGGTTAGTCACGGTGACTCAGTCAGCAGAATGGCAATAGACCCATACACCCGTGTGCACCAGAGGCCCAGCCTTGTTTCTGGTTCTGTGACCTCCGTCCGGTCGTTGCGCGAATTCGAACCTTGGTCCATTGTTCCAAATCTCCTACCACTCGACCAACTGAGATACCCGTGCGGGTAAGAATTTGCAGTTTATTTATTTTGTTTGATGGTGTTGATAAAAGTTCTTGTATATTTACGTAAGTGCACTATGCTGAAATGCACTCTATTGAAAATGCTTGGGATTAGCTTATTAGGATAGTGATGTTTCAAACTGGAAAGTCTTAATTATAAAGAAAAATGAGATATTTTTGCTACAACTTTTAAACCTAACATGCTCTGTGTGCAGACTGCTCTCGGTGTACAAGCTCAAACGATATCACCATAAAAAACCGACCCTCAATCGTAACTCTCCGAGATTCAATTCATGGATAAAAGTTCAAATTCATAACTTTTAAAGACTTTTTAAAATTATGCACCTAAACTTTTAAAATTCATGAG